TCTGGGACTCATAAACCACCAGGCTATCTTGAAACTTGGTGGCCAGTCCTGCTTCCAAGAAAGTGGCTGGTGAGCAGACTGTTCCTGCTGGCCAGCACGTCATTTCACTCAGGGGATCCCATGAGACTGGCCACTAGGATGCTGCCGATGTGCTCATGTCATGTGACTCAGATTGTTGATATGGAGAGCCCCCTGACCACCTGTATAAAAAGCAGGAAGATTTTAATAGGAGATCAAGACCAAAAAACACAATCATGTATATACATATATACGTGCTGTGCTGTGCTTAGCTGCTCAGTCATGTCCGACTCTTTGCGACCCCATGAACTGTGGCCTGCCAGGCTCCCCTGTCCATGGGGATTCTCCAGCAAGAATACTGGAGCGGGTTGCTATGTCCTTCTCCAGGGGATCTTCCCAAAACAGGGATAGAACCCGGGTCTCCTGCATTGCAGATGGATTCTTTAATGACTGAGGCACCGGGGAAGCACATATGTATCTATATATATACACAAACATATATAAGTGTGTGTGTGCACTTATATACACATATATGTTTACACACACACATATATACATGTATATACATGATTGTGTTATTTTGGTCTTGGTCTGTTAAAAATCTTAATTTTTTTTGCCACAATTTGGTTTCCAGGGACCTCTTCAATCTTCCTTTTATAAATGTTTACTAAAAATCCACTTCCTTAGAGGATCTGGTGGGGGAGAATGAGAGATTACTTGAGAAACACTGATTTAAAGAAAGTAAACAGGGATTTTGTTGCAGAAGTTCTCAGAGCCTGAACTTTTCTGCTTTTTCATTGTGAAAAAGCAAAAGGAGATGCAGCCCTCCCAGCCTCCTATGACCAAGGGGATCTCAGGGGACTAGATAGAAAATGTTTTCAAAGAATAATGCAGGTGTGCGCCTACGCGCACACAAACACACACACAAAGGATCTCTTGTTTTATTTAAGTCGCTGGGAGTTAAAAATAGGGAGGGATGGGTATGTCCTGTGGCAGGTCCACTTCTGTAAACACAGAACCAGAAAAACAAAATCAGCCTTGTGGTCTAGACAGGCAGGCAAGTGCCTGTCCATAGATATGGCTACTTCCAGAGAAGATTCTGGGAAATATACGTATTTCCAGAGTCCACATGCTACAGTTAAGGTTTAGGCCGTTAGAGGGCTCTGTAGACCTGAAGGATTTCTGTTTCCAGCCCCAGGACACACTCCAGAGAGAATTATCGCTGTGATGAAGCAGGGTGTATGAAATACATCCATTAGAGACAAGCAATGTTTCATTCATCACATCTTGAACTTCTGGGAGGGATTCATACAAATCCTTTTCTTCCCCATTAAGCAAATGATAAAAATAGCAAACTGAGGATGCAAACCTATTTGTTAAATCTAAAATGACTCATTAAACATTTAAAAATATTAAAATAAAACATATATAAATATATATAATATATACATGAAGGAATATATAATATATATATATTCCCATCCCTCCCTATTTTTAACTCCCAGCGACTTAAGTAAAACAAAAGATCCTTTGTGTGGGTGTGTGTGCGTATGCGCACACCTGCATTATTCTTTGAAAACAGCATTTTCCATCTAGTCCCCTGAGATTCCCTTGGTCATAGGAGGCTGGGAGGGCTGCATCTCCTTTTGCTTTTTCACAATGAAAAAGCAGAAAAGTTCAGGCTCCGAGAACTTCTGCGACAAAATCCCTGTTTATTTTTTTTTAAATCAGAGTTTCTCAAATAATCTCTCATTCTCCCCCCACCAGATACTGTAAGGAAGTGGATTTTTGGTAAACATTTTTAAAAGGAAGACTGAAAGGAATATATATATATATATATATATATATTATAATATATATAATTTATATATATTCATATATTTATATATATAATGTAATATATATATATTATATATATATAAAGGAAACGGTAACCCACTCCAGTAGTCTTGCCTGGGAAATCCCATGGATGGAGGAGCCTGGTGGGCTAAGGAACTTAGGTTCGCATAGAGTTGGACACAACTAAGTGACTAACACACACACACACACACGAATCACTTTGCTGTAGACCAGAAACTAATACAACACTGTAAATCAAATATACTTCTATAAAGAAAAAATTATTAAAATTAAATAAAGCTAGATTATATCCTTCAATAAGGGAGCAAGCAGACTGAAATATAAATCCTTGCCTTACCCTTGCTCTTAACATGGTGACGTGAGACTCACAGCCACTGAGTCGATGGAAATGCTTCGACTCATTTCCATCATCTGACCCCATCAAATACACTGGGGTTCACCTGCTACAGCCGTGTTGCCACTTAGACCCAGAAAAAAAGATAGAAACCCTTTTCTGCCTCCTCCCCAGATTAAAAGAAAACAACACATATCAAGATAAATGCCCCCAAAGGCACCCCCATAATGTCTCTGGGGGTTACTTCCTTCAAAGTCCCTGGCATGCTGGTGGACTTGACCCAGCCAGTAAGTTAGAAATGGTGCTAGTGGGGAGATGCCTTTCCTTTCCACTCCAACAGCCCGGGAGCCTGAACACAGGCTAGCCAAGCTGGGGCAAGGACTGGGCCATCTGCTGATTGTGTCATTGCAGCGGCCACAGCTGGAGACGTTTCAGGTTTGACAAGTGCCTCCGCGCCCTCTCCCCTAACTCTTGATTTTGCTCATCAATCTCCCTCACTCGATGACACCAGCCAAAGTTAACCCTCTTAGAAGGACTTAGGCACCTCTTCTGGCATCTGTACTTTTTAAAAGTGCTTTGATTCTTACCCCCCGCCCGCCACTGTGAAGGACCCTTATGTGACCCAGCAAATAAAAAAACACTATTCAAAGAAAGAACATCTTTGAACCCCGTCTTTACTTCAGAACTAGTCTACTTGTCACATTTTCTCTACTTCAGTGGCCTTGGCTGCTACATGGAGATGTCCTCAGCTAAGCACACACGGCTTCTGGGCGACCATATTCTTTATTGGAGATGGAATTGAGAGGATGCTCTTGAGGGGTCAAGTTGAAAGCAACTTTAGTAAGGGTCTTATCACTCTAAAACACTCTCACTTTAAAACTGATGAAGCTAAAAACAGAACGAGCTGTTAGAAGTACAAAGGCACAGAACAACTTGGATGAGAAAACTTCTCCAGTTTGGTGCTAGGGCCACGGTGGATGCTGGGTAAGATCATTTGGCTCTAAGACCACTATCCCTGGTGGCATCTGTGTATCCACAGAAATTACTGGTCCATGCACTGATAAACATGCAATTCCCTTTCCTCAAAGGAGCTACTAAATCACATTTCAAGCCCTAATTAGCTTACCAAATTCAAATCTCCTACAAACAACAGGAGAAGGAAAACAATAGCAAATGGCATTGCACTGATCCATAAACACCCTCTAGAGAGAGATGAGAAATTATGGCATCCCACTGCATTACTTTAAAGTTTTTATTTTCTGAACCCCCTGTTTTTAGTACATGATTTCTGTTATTATTGATAGGATGCAACTGTAATTGGGATGTTGGACACAGAGTGGTTATTTATGTACTCAGGAATTACAATGTTATGTTTGCACCCCTTGCAAAATGTTAAAATTATTTATGACTGTGAGAATACCAGGAGGAAATGGTATTGGCATGATCTCTGGGGACATTCACTCTTAACAAAGAGATGGCTTTGATGACATGAGGAGCAGCTAAGTCAAGATTATCCTTGAGGCAAAGGAAAACCAAACTGGGACAGGTGTAGGTATAACATCGAGGGTCGCTATAAATGGGTACACACACCCAGCTGTCTTTGAAACCAGGGGGAACACAGGTGGTTCTCTTTGCCAAGTCACGTAAATGGATCCATTTACTCCTACTAAGGGTCAAAAGACTTAATATTCACCTCTTTGAATTTCATTTTCCTATTCTTTACTAAGGAGTAATATGAAAAAAATAATTAAAGGTGCACACATGTAATAATATACACTAGGGCTCCCCTGGTGGCTCAGAGAGTAAAGAATTTGCCTGCAATGCAGGAGACCTGGGTTTGATCCCTAGGTCAGGAAGATCACCTGGAGAGAGAAACGGCACCCCACTCCAGTATTCTTGCCTGGAGAATTCTATGGACGGAGGAGCCTGGTGGACTACAGTCCATGGGGTTGCAGAGTCGGACACAACTGAGCAACTAACATTTAACACTTCTGTATTAATATATATTGATATCACCAAGGTGCTGATAAAGTAACAAAAAAGTGGAAGTGTGACCACCATCAGGGGTTGGTTACATTCATCTGATAAAATACTCTGGTCAAACTTTGATTTTTTTGGAAAAGACAATATTATGATATGAAAAAAATGCTCAGTAAGATTAAACAGAAAAGTCAGGAATATACAACAATACAATCTGAATTTTGCGCTGCAAAATTTGATATATATTTAGAAAAAATTAAAAGAAAATAAACCGCTGGTGGCTCAAAATGGTAAAGAATCCACCTGCAGTGAGGGAGACCTGGGTTCGATCCCTGGGTTGGGAAGATCCCCTAGAGTGGGGCATGGCAACCCACTCCAGTATTCTTACCTGGAGGATCCTATGGTCAAAGGAGCCTGGCAGGTTACAACCCATGGAGTTGCAAAGAGTCAGACATGACTGAGTGACTAAACACACACAGCACACAAACCTAAATGTACCAGTGGCTATTTCAGAGTGCTAAGATTTAAGGGCTTATTAAAATTCTTCTCTTTACACTTTTTAGTATTTTCCCAACTTTCTATAGTAATGATGCACAGCTCTTAACAATGAAAAGAAGGAGTCTTTTCAAATACTGTACATCTCTCACTTGAGAACCCTTCAGACATATCAGGTAATTAAAGCAAACCTGAATAACAACTAAATTTTACCACTGGCTCTCACATCTGCCACCTTCTCCAGAGCAGAGCCCTGAGAGTCCCTCTGCCATGGAGCGTCCATGGACATCCCAGCTCTGTTCCAGGTGCTCACCTGGGAAGGTGTGGTCACACTGATTTCAGGAACAAAGTTGTCCTCGAAGAAACTGATGATGTTCTCCTGCTGTAGCTCCTTCGTTGGGGTGACTTTAGGAAGAGGTGGGACAGGAGGCCCTTTCCTTGTCTAAGAAACATCACACACAAACAAACAGGGTTTAATTCAGCGGAAGATGGCACGGGAGACATGCAGAAATGTCTTGGGAACAAAGCCAGGGGATGAGATTGATCCCTGATTCAAATTTTGGCCTGCACTGAGAAATCAGCCCACCTGATTCAGGCAAAGAATGCCTGCTTGGATGGGTACTGTAGCTATGGTGTGACAAGTAATGGTCCAACGAGGAAAATACAGGCCATGAGACTCCATCCATCTTAACACAAGTGCTATATCACAGCACTGCAGGGCCACGTACCTGTGCCTCTCAAGTTAAAATAAGGCCATACGTGCGTGCGGGTTAAGTCGCTTGAGTCATGTTCGACTGTCTGACCCTATGGACTGTAGCCAGCCAGCCTCTTCTGTCTATGGGGGTTCTCCAGGCAAGAATACTGGAGTGGATTGCCATGCCCTCCTCCAGTGGATCTTCCCGACCCAGGGATTGAACCCACGTCTCTTATGTCTCCTATATTGGCAGGCAGGTTCTTTACCACTAGTGCCACCTGGGAAGCCCAAACTAATGCCATACCTTCTCCAAAGTTAACTGCAAATGATTTCTCCCTTCAGCAGCACATTAGAATTCTAGAGCTAAAATCAGGCAAGATTTCACTAGAGTCAGTGAGGAGACCACCATGGGCAGCATACACCTCACTCTGCACTCCAGTATTTTGGAAAGGTGACTCAGCAGTAAAAAATCTGCCTGCCAGTAAAGCAAAGTAAAGATTCAGTCTCCTATGCAGGAGACTCAGGTTTGATCCCTGGGTCGGGAAGATCCCCCGGAGAAGGGAATGACAACCCACTCCTGTATGCTTGTCTGGGAAATCCCATGGACAGAGGAAGCTGGCTGGCTACAGCCCATGGGGTCGCAAAAGAATCAGACATGACTTCGCGAATAAACAACAAATAAGCACTGTAGTATCCATTATTCACATCTTTTCGCAACGATCTTTAGTCTCAACCATACACAAGAAAGCCTGAGCTGGATTAGACACTTCAAGTTTCCCCATAGGAATTTCATTTTCTCCAAAAGAAGGAACAATAAGGGTGGCTGTTTTTCTCTACATTTGCCTTTGCTTGGCCCTTTCTGTTTCTTTCAATCACTTGTTCCATCACTTTTGCTGAGCGTGCACAATATACCACGGGTGATACAAAAAATCAAATGTGAACTGATATAAACACCATGGCCGTTCTTGCTCCAGGTGTGACCTAAAGACTAACAGGAAGGAGGCCACGTGGAGAAAGTAGAATTCAACGGAGCCTTAAAAGTGCAGGATGCTGAGAAGAGGAGATCATGCAAGCCTCAGGAAGTTGAGATCGTGGAGAGAGATGTCTCAACCCACTGACGCAGAGGGTATGTGAGGAAACATAAAAATCTGAGTAAAAAAAGAGAAGTTTATTCCTCAGTGATGATCCCAATGGCCAAGGCTCACACTAAAAACTCTTGTCAATGACCTCACCCCACGGGGTTATCCCAGGTGGGGTCAACTCAGTCTGGCTTCTTCCGGTCCCCCTTATACACGTGACGTCTTCCTACCTGCGAGGGTGACCGAGGTCTGACTGGTGCGGGAGATGCAGGTGCCAACGTGTGATTAGGACTTGCTGTCGGGCTTGGGATGGGTGAAGCCTCCTCAGGTGGCGAAGGCGTCTTTGCAATACGAAGAGGACCCGAGTCGCTGAACAAACACAGAGGGTGAGCAAGGCGCTTTTTACAGAGCGGTCCTTATTTCTCAGGGGCCCTCCTTCTCACAGAAGTCCTCAGGCATGACAGGAACTACTGGTTATCTACTCCCTCTTCCCATTCATCCTGGTTATTAGTAACGGTGATGCAATAACTGGTGCCATTTATTGTCCACTGTCTGCAAGATCCCATTCATACATTACCTCCACTGATCACAAGACCCAAAGCATAACTGTCTCCACTTTACATGTAAGTAAAGTGGGCCACAGAGAGGATAAAAAATCCTTAACGTCACTGGAAAATTTCGTGGATCCAAATTCAGGCCTTAGTAATTTGAACTCCTATTCTTCCCACTGAGCCAAATAGGCTCTGCAAGAATCTTCCAAACATAAGCTGAATTAATTGGACTAATTTCACTTTTGATTTATAAGAGAAACTTGCTATGGCATAATCTATAGCAGAACCTGCCCTGCCCCATCAAGTGATAAACTGGCTATTAAAAGGCATCCCCAGGACAATGTTCATTAAGATTTGGTAGGCGAGCTTTCTGATAATATTTAGAAATTAACTTGTTGTCTCTCTTTCTACACCTTAGAGCACAATAACTCAATTCAGACATGTGCAAATGAATTATGTGATGGATGAGAGTCTGTAATGTTTACTGAGAGCCCACCATGCTCCCGGCCCCAGGCCAGATGCTCATGATCAGCCCAAATGCAATGGTTAATCCACCACTGGGGACACATCCTACTCTCTAAGAATTTCTAAACTCTACAGATTGAGGGAACAAGTTTGTACCCCCAAATAAATGAGCACGTACACAGCAGGAGGGTCTACAGATTCAATGGGCTGAGGGAATGGGTCCCGTGGACAGGACATGGACACACACATGATTGGAACCTTGCCAATCATGGTCTCCCCTGGGAAGCACAGCCACCAGTCTATGCCTAATGGAGGCCCCACTGAGCTCACTCACCACCTCGTTCTGCAGAGGAACGTTGAAAAAAATGAAAAACATTTGTTAAGTGGTCGTGGCCCCATTTTCTCTTCATTGTATCTGATTCAGCAGCATCGAAATTTCCAGATACCTTTCCCCCCGCCAAAACCTTAAACTTTTTATTTTGTATTGGGGTATAGCAGATAATGGGCTTCCCTTGTGGCTCAGCTGGTAAAGAATCTGCCTGCAATACGGGAGACCTGGGTTCGATCCCCGGGTTAGGAAGATCCCCTGGAGAAGGGAAAGGCTACCCACTCCAGTATTCTGGCCTGGAGAATTCCATGGACTGAATAGTTCATGGGATCACAAAGAGTCGGACACAACTGAGCGACTTTCACTTTCATAGCAGATAATAACGTTGTGGTAGTTTCAGGTGAACTGCGATGCAGCTCAGCCCTACATATACATGCATCCATTGAGCCTTCATCTCTGTATAAGGGAGCCGCCTTCCCCGTGTACCTCCTTCCTAAATCACCCAAAAGTCATTGTGATATTCTTATTACATTCCGTTCTCAGTTTGGACACAATAGTTCTGTCCCTTTCCTGTCTTCTTTTAGGCAATGTTCTAAGACAATATACTTAATGCTCACTTAGTATAGCAGCCAGGGTAGGGACTACATGTACATCTATACCAAATAGCATCAAATCAGAAGATTAGCTGTTTCCAGAAGGTTCCAAACACTAATACATGGAGGCGGCAGTGCCTGTGTAAGAGCACTGTGTTTTTACAAATGCATGGGTCTGTGGGTATACATTGATGGATGCTAAAATCGTAAACACAGAAGGTCAGCACTGTGTATTTCCTTACAAGTTGTTTAGTTCAATAGCATGTTTTTATTCCTATTGATTTTAAAAATGAGCCCTTTATTCAGAAAGGTTATTGAACTTCCTCCAGGAAGGCAGAGCAAATTATCTGCAGAGTCAGAAAACTAAAATTTGAGTCCTCTGAATTCCAACCCAAGCCTCATGAGCCTGAGTACATAACGCCTGAGAAGGACGGATAAAAGGGATTCCCAAATCATAAGAGTAAGATGCTGTGAATCCAAACCCTGGCACTGTAGACTATTCATCTACAGATCACTAAGCCTTTGGTAAATCTGACAGGCGCACTCAAAATAAAACCAAACCAGTGTCCAACAAAACCCAAACAATGCAGTGTTTGCAAGGTCAAGTTAGGAGGGAAGATGATGGTGAGGTCTCACCTACTTCCTTTTGCCTCTTCCAAAAAGGATTCATTAAAGGTATCAACACCAATATATTGGGTTGGCCAAAAAGTTCGTAATGTATGATGTTAACAGAAAAATCCATAATACGGTAATAGAAAAACCTGAACGAGCTTTTTGGCCAACCCAATAAATAACAAGACTAATTGTTGTGGGTTTAGGGAATTCTCTTCCTCTCCAAATAAAGTAACAAGTGCACAACTAGAATTTGTATGCAAGAAATTGACATCATTGCCGGAAAGCAAAAAGAGGTAGATAGCACTCTGAAGGGACAAAAGTCCATGAGGATACAGCTGAAGGCTAAAAGTCAATGTAAAAGCACAGAACTAAGTCTGGTTTCACCCTCTGGATGGAGAAAGTCCTTGATTTTATACCTTTGTAAGATGAGTAAAATGCTGGTACAGGCTGTAGAAACTTCAACAGTTTTTGCCTTCAAGGGATGCACACATGAACTTGGCTTTCATAAACATCGCCTACCTGGGAGCTCCTTGAATGGTGAAGGCCTTGTCGGCATGCTGGTCGCCCAGTTTCGTCATCACCTCATACAGTTTGTGGCAAAGCTAGGAAGACAGATGTCACTCGTCTATTAATTGTAAGTCATTCTGCTGCAAATTCAGGCTACTGCCCCCAGGAAGGAACTGTTTATTGAAACATTAAGGATCTTATGGTAGCATGAATAGTCTCAGGATAATTTAATGTCTGAATTGGGTCCAATTTAACTGTAAGGCCACAAACACAAATTAACATATATATAACCCAGAATATAGAGGCGAAAACATGCACTTATTATTTACATTGATTCTATTAGAGATAAAGTGATACAACCACCCTGTTGAACTAAGAAAATATTACTCAGTGACACAAATGCTGACTATCTATTTAGAGACCAGTTTTTCCCCAGCCTAAAGACTTGAAAATCCAACTTTAAAAACTGACTGAAAAAATAAAAACAATTGTATGATTGTAACAAGTAGGCAGGGGTTCATGAAAGCACAAATTGAACCAGACTTATAGAAACATGTGGTCACTACAAAACAATGAAGAAATATTACTGAGAGTCAAAGCAAAATTGAAAGAAACACGGAAGAGAGTAAATTCTTTGCTTAGTATGTGCCATTGCATTTGCTTCCAGAATAAATGTTCATCTACTTTATATTCCATATGGAAAATCCCATATCATCATTACTTACCACTGCAATTTCCTTATGAAACTTGGCTTCTAGGCTGGAGACATTTTTGAAAGTATTGACATAAAATCCAACTCGTCTATCATGTGGAAATACAAAGAGGAAAGAAGAGACAGACCAATCAGCAAGACTGTGTTTTTAATGGCTATTACATATATTAAAAAACAGATTTTCTTTACATAATTTTGACTAACACTAGATTAAATAAAAATACTTAACCCAAAGTAGGTCCAACCTTTCCTGATCCGTTAATGAACAAAAATACCATCTTTTGGTGTCGAACACAGTCTTTCCTGATATCTGGTTTATACCCAAAGAAACATTTCTCAGACTTTAACGGGCATCAAGATCACTTGGAGATTTGTTTCCCATCTAATAGGTCTGAGATGTGTGTGTGTGCCTGTGTGTTGTGTTCGACTCTGTGTGACCCCATGGACTGTAGCTGCCAGGCTCCTCTGTCCTTGGAATTCTTCAGGCAAGAATACTGGAGTTGGTTGTCATTCCCTTCTCCAGGGGATCTTCCCAATCCAGCGATCAAACCCAGGTCTCCTGCATTGCAGATAACCTCTACCATCTGAGTCACCAGGGACCCTCAGGTCTGCGATGAATTTCTAACAAGCTCTATGTCATACTGATGCTGCTGGTTCAGAGATAACACTTCTAGAACCACTGCCCTAAGAATTTGTGTTTTAGATATGTACTTAGTAAAGATTTTGAGATAGAGAAGTTTATTATGAACATATGCTTCATTCATACTGCAGAGAGAAAGAAGCAGATTTCAAAACAGCATGTGACTGTTCACATTAATACAAAAGGCCACACAAGATTAAATACCAAAATTTAGCAGCTTTAGAGAGAAACAGCTGAAGGAACTAAGAGAAGAGGGTAGGGTGGGCCCTGTGCCAGCTGCAAACATCCGCTTGAGAAGCCACACAGGCTGCCATGAAGGAGGATCAGATTTAAATAGAAGGTGGGTGCAGATGGGGGAGGGGGAGGTAACTGAAGTTGTGATTAGTCATTCAGTCACGTCTGACTCTTTGCAACCCTGTGGACTATAGCCCACCAGGATCCTCTATCCATGGGATTTTTTAAGGAGAATATTGGGAGTGGGTTGCCATTTCCTCTTCCAGGGGATCTTCCCGACTCCAGGACTGATTGTGCATCTCCTGTGTTTCCTGTATTACAAGCGGATTCTTTACCTGCTGAGCTATGGTGGAAGCCCAGCTGAAGTTGATTGGTGGTTACTGTTTTATTTGCATCGACTTTTCACTATACTAAACAAAACCCTAATGAAGATCTTTGAAATGAATTCTGTGTCCAGCTTACTATTTCCTCAGAATAAGCTTCCTGACTGTAAATGCCGGGTGAAAGGCACAGAGAAGAGCAGAGACCTTCTAGACCCTTGACACAAAACTTATGTAAATATGCTGGGAAAGAGTAAGCATCTCACCTGCTTTTAAATTATCTCCCATTAATGAAAGCTGAGTCAATCTTTTTTAGTTCTTTTATCTATTGACCCTTTGAATTTGCTTGTTTATTTCTTGGAGCTTGTTTTATTCTTATTACTCATAAGGAATTTTCTATTAAAAGCACTGAACCTTGAATACATTTAGCCAAAACAAGAATCCCCATTCTTCTATCTTTAAATTGCTTCCTGATACACAGCTTGTTTATTTCAATCATTATTTAGAAAAATAACTGGCACAGTACTAGTAAGAAACACCTTATTTAGAATGACTAGACGAACATCTGCAATTTTCTAAGATTTTGTTTCCTTTGAGAACTCAGAAATCGAATCAACAAAGATGTATTTAATTTTGAAAAAAATGTTCAGTAATTTTGATGCCACTTATCATATAGTGATTCTCTCCTACTTATGAAATCAGAAATTCTATCAAAGCAGGAACTGCCTTTGGCTAGTTCACAAGAACAGACTCAGCACCTAATAGCAGTTGGCACAGAACAGGCAATGCAGTAAATATTCCATGACTGAATGATCCAACGGATAAGCAGATTAACAAACTAGTGAATGAAAAAATTTGGCACTCATTCTACTGGAAGAACACATTCTGACTATAACCTTGACTTACAAAAAACTGGTATCGTCAGCAGTAAAATATACACCCACAAAGAGCACCAGGCTCTGAATTTTGATATTATCTGTTGTCAGATATTCTGACAATATCAGCTATAAGATATTATCTGGAGGATTCATTTCACAAGTTCTTCATTAACAAGGGACTCTGAGACATTACCATTTCTCCAAAGTTCTTGTCTGAGGCATCCTCAGGGCCCTTCTGGTTAGCTGTTAAGACCAACTTAATTTCTTCATTAAGAGGTTTCTTTGTTCTTGGAAACCATGGAAAGGCTTAACAGCTGAGCCTACTGCAGTCCCAGAATGCAGGCCAGGACACTCTCCCCTCTGCCCTGAGGGAAGCCTGTCTCACCCCAGTGAGCTGGTCACTGCTTCCCCCTGAGCCCCCTTCAATGGAAGAAGCATGCTCTGCCTATGAGTCTGTGTCTGTTTTACACATATATTCATTTGTGCCATACTTTAGATTCTACATTTGATATCATCTGGTATTGTCTTTCTCACTTACTTCACTTAGCACGAGAATCTCTAGGTGCACCTATGTTGCTGCAAATTGCATTCCTTTGTTCTTTTATGGCTGAGCAGTATTCCATTGTATACATATACCATATCTTTACCCATTCCTCGGTTGATGGGCATTCAAGTTGCTTCCATGTCTTAGCCATTGTGAATAGTGCAGCTATGAACATAGGGGTGCATGTATCTTTTTAAATTATAGTTCTGTCCAGGTATATTCCTAGGAATGGGACTGCTGGATCATATAGTAAGTCTATTTTTAATTTTTTGAGGGACCTCCATACTGTTTTCCATAGTGGCTGCATCAATTTACAATGTCACCAATAGTGTAGGAGGGTTCCCTGTCTTCCACATCCTAACCAAGATTTAGAATTTTACTTAAAGCAGTGTTGCATGACAAACACAATCCTGTTTATTCAGGGTGGTAGCATGGGTGTGCTGATGAAAACTGAGACATAAGACCCCACTTCACCCAGCAACTTCTTGATTCTACTACTAAATGGGAAAACTGAAGTTAATGGAATGAGAAATGCAGAGTACCCATAAAAAAGAAGAATATTTCATGTATAAAATAAGAATGAAGCTCAGATTAACAGGTGAGAGCTGATAGTAGAGGTTTCACATAAAAGACAGAGACTAGATGACCCCTTGAAATAAAAAAAGTTCTTCCAAGGGTTAAAAGTTTCTCTTTTAAATTTCAAGGTTAGGGATAGTTCTCCTAATGCCTCTAATTGAGATTTGTATCTCGACTTGAGAAATAAAAGTCTAAAACAGTGCTGTCAATGTGGTAGCTAACCAAATTGGGTTATTTAAATTTAAATGAATTGAAACAAAATAACGTAAATTTAAAATTCAGTTCCCAGGTCATACTAGATATATTCCAAGTGCTCAAGGTCAACCACATGTGGTAAGAAGCTACCATATCGTAAATTACAGATTATCGAACACTTCTACTAGACAGTGAGTGCCAAAGCATCACAGGAAATAAGACAAGCAATATTCCCCACTCCTGAACCTATAACGTATACAGAACCATCTTTACCTTGACCATAATGATGGTAACTCTTCCTGTAAGTCAACGTTAAACTCTTCAAACACTTTCTGTGCTTTCTGAAATTCCTCTTCTGCCTAGAAATGACACATAACATGTTTACACTGAAAACATCACATACATATCACACTTCTAGACACAACAACATTTAATATAAAACAGAAATAGCTTTATGGCATCCTGGAATATTTTGGAAAGGAGAGAAATCTGGTTAAAATTCACATGATCATTTTCAATAAAAGTGAAATGTTAAATCTTACTGAAAAAGGAAAATGTGATTGATTACAATGGTTGCTCTTGCAGTCTCTGGCAGATTCGTTCATTCTACAAAGTTGTGCTAACTGCCTGTCACATACACTGTTACATGCTCTGCTTGGGATACTGGGCCAGGATACTTCCCAAGAAATTCCCTGTCTAGTGGGAAGTCTAAGTAATTACACTACAAGAGAGGGCTTATAAGCTATTATGGAGCATGCCATTAAGAAAGAGAGCGCAAGAATTAGAAAAGGTTCCATGGAAAGGGTGATATTTTAACTTGATATTGAATCTTGAAGAGTGAGCAACTGTTTGCTAATGAAGTGGTGGGGAATGGTGGACAACACATAAAGGTGAAGCTGCCTGGGTTGGGATTCTCACTCACTAACCATGCGGACTTTCTTTACCACCTTTCTGCACCTAAGATCCATAAATGAACATAGCAATGTCCACCTCACAGGTGTTTGTGAGTATTAAGGAAAGCGGATGTAAATAAAGTGTTGAACACAATGCCTTGCTTCTCAGGGGCATGACGTGAAACTCAGCTCTTAGAGTGACTGCTTAGGAGCTGGTGTGTAGGTCATAGAAGCTCCAGATTAGGATGTTTGTGTGGAGGAAGGAAAGTAGGGGAAAGAAGACTTGAAAGCTGACAAAATGGACAGGTGAGTCAGAAACCAGCTGTGAAGGTTGCATAGGCCATGCTAAGGAATTTAGAACTTTTTGACAGGCAATGGGAGCCATTAAAAGACTTAAGCACTGGAGAAATTCTATCTGGGTACGTGTAGTAGAAAGGTGATCCAGGAAGCTGTGTGTGGGAAGATGTGGCCAGAAAAGACTGGAAGCCAAGAGAGAAGTTAGTAGGTGTCTCCAATGAGCTGTCAGTGACCAGAGACATACATGGAGAAAGCTCTGGAGATGGGTTCTTTAAAAGAAAATGAATCTCAAGCAATTGTAGCAGACATCTGTACTCTCAAGCACAAGTTATGTCTGAGAATTTCACACTTGATTTCCTAGTTGAATCTTCATTTTGGCATTAAGTATGGACCACAGCACATTTCCCAGGTGATGCTAGTGGTCAAGAACCAACCTGCCAATGCAGGAAACATAGAGACATGGGTGTGATCCCTGGGTCGGGAAGATCCCTTGGAGGAGGACGTGGTAACCCACTCCAGCATTGTTGCCTGGAGAATCCCATGAACAGAGGAGCCTGGCGGGCTACAGTGTCTCAAAAAGTGTTTCAAAAAGTTGGACACAACTGAGCGACTTAGCATGCACACACATGGACCACGGTGACATAAAGAGTGTAAGGACACATTACTTTATATGATCAGGCAATACTGTTAGGGGTAAACATTTATTATGATGAAAATGTGTGTGTCAGTGCCACCCAAGTGAATTCTACCAAGGACCTGAAAACCCTTAGTTTAACTTATAAAATTATAGACAGCAGTCCACAAGACCCATATTTCAATTTTTAAATTCCATCCTGATTCCAATCTCCATGAGAAAAGAGAGATTTTATTTCAAAAGCAAAGTTGCTACAGGTCACAGAATACAGAGTGGTGACAACAGTGGAACTGGTCCCTACCTTAGAGATGCGACTCTCATCCTTCCTCTTGGAACTCTGCAAAGCTTCCAGATGATGGCGGGCACTGTCGTAGTCCACCAGCTTCCGGCTGCGCTTGGCAATACGATTCTGCCAACAGGGAAACACAAGCATGAACAGAAAGACACGGTCACAGATTCTCTTCTTAACTGCCAAAACACTTTCCTTGTCCAGAGTAGCTGGAGATCGAAGTGAACCAGAATTTCAGTAGACAAATGATCGCTAGAAATCAAACTACTGTCTTTGATACTTTGTGTGAATGTGTGTGTGTGTGTGTGTGTGCGTGCATTCAGTTGTGTCTGTTTCTTTGTGACGTCATGGACTGTAGCCTGCCAGGCTCCTCTGTCCATGGGATTTTCCAGGCAAGAGTACTGGAGTGGGTTGCCATTTCCTACTCCAGGGGATCTTCCTCAACCAGGGATAGAAACCGAGTCTCTTGCATCTTCTGCACTGGCAGGCAGATTCCTTACCACTAGGGATTTGTGTGACTACCATTAGGTAAATACCTCCCTTCTGATAATAATTAGGACAATCATTAAGAGCCGAAGGCAGAATTTGCAGTCAAAGACCAGAGAAATTCCAGAATTGGTGGAGGAAAGCACATAAACCTATACTCTCTATTAGTCTTTATTCTAAACCTTTAAGTGTTCCATTTTAAAGACAGTCAAAGACTGTATTAGGATTTGCTTTTATAATTCTAATAGCACTCACACTAACAGCAGTTCTATAAATCCGAAGAAACCCCTTTTTCCAAGAAGTGTTTGACAACCCTTTTGTTTGTTAGAAATATCTGAGGAGCTTTAAGAATACACTGATTCCTAGAGACTTTGACTTTTAGTTAGGCTATAGAGAGCTGCAAAGAATGTTACTCCCACACTTACAAGAAAAAAATATCTGGATAGTCTGTAAAAACATAAATTGTCTTGACTGTATCAGAGACATAAACTCACAAGCCAACAAAGCCATCTGAATCCCAAAGAGGGATGAGTCCCTGTAGGGAGAGATGAGACACAAAAACCATTTCACCTTTGGCAGGTAAAAGCTGTTGCCAACCCAACACAAGTGGACAAGTTCAGTTCAGTTCAGTTACTCAGTCGTGTTCAACTCTTTGCAATCCCATGAACTGCAGCATGCCAGGCCTCTCTGTCCATCCTGGAGTTGACTCAAACTAATGTCCATTGACAGTTAGAACTGGACATGGAGAAACAGACTGATTCCAAATAGGAAAATGAGTATGTCAAGGCTGTATATTGTTACCCTGCTTATTCAACTTATATGCAGAGTACATCATGAGAAATGCTGGGCTGGAAGAAGCACAAGCTGGAATCAAGATTGCCAGGAGAAATATCAATAACCTCAGATATGCAGATGACACCACCCATATGGCAGAGAGTGAAGAGGAACTGAAAAGCCTCTTGATGAAAGTGAAAGAGGAGAGTGAAAAAGTTGGCTTAAAGCTTAATATTCAGAAAGCTAAGATCATGGCATCTGGTCCCATCACTTCATGGGAGATAGATGGGGAGACAGTAGAAACAGTGTCAGACTTTATTTTTGGGGGCTCCAAAATCACTGCGGATGGTGATTGCAGCCATGAAATTAAAAGACACTTACTCCTTGAAAGGAAAGTTATGACCAAACTAGATAGCATATTAAAAAGCAGAGACATTACTTGGCCAACAAGTTCCGTCTGGTCAAGGCTATGGTTTTTCCAGTGGTCATGTATGGATGTGAGAGTTGGACTGTGAAGAAAGCTGAACGCCAAAAAATTGATGCTTTTGAACTGTGGTGTTGGAGAAGACCCTTCAGAATCCCTTGGACTGCAAGGAGATCCAACCAGTCCATCCTAAAGGAGATCAGTTCTGGGTGTTCATTGGAAGGACTGATGCTGAAGCTAAAACTCCAGTACTTTGGCCACCTCATGCGAAGAGTTGACTCATTGGAAAAGACCCTGATGCTGGGAGGGATTGGGGGCATGAGGAGAAGGGGACGACAGAGGATGAGATGGCTGGATGGCATCACCAACTCGATGGGCATGAGTTTGAGTAAACTCAGGGAGTTGGTGATGGACAGGGAGGCCTGGTGTGCTGCGATTCATGGGGTTGCAAAGAGTTGGACACAACTGACTGACTGAACTGAACTGAATGTCCATTGAGTCAGTGATGCCATACAACCAACTCATCCTCTGTCATCCCCTTCTCCTCCTGCCTGCAATCTTTCCCAGCATCAGGGTCTTTTCAAATGAGTCAGTTCTTCGCATCAGGTGGCCAAAGTATTGGAGTTTCAGCTTCAGCATCAGTCCTTCCAGTGAATATTCAGAACTGATTTCCTTTAGGAAGTGGACAAGAGATCAGCTAAAATTTTAACAAATTGCTAAAGATCCACTGGGGGCTAAGGTGTCAGTTTGTAATAATAGCTGGGTGTCCAAGACACAGGGGAGGGACTTCCCAGTGGCTAAGACTCCATGCTCCTAATGCAGGGGGCCCAGGTTCAACCCTTGGTCAGGGAACTAGACCCCACATGCTGCAATTAAAAATTTCACAGTCTGCAGTTAAGAGTTCAAATGCTGCAACTAAAGATTCTGTGTACTGCAACTAAGACCTGGCACAGCCAAAAAATAAAAATTAAAAAATAAAAAGACATGAGGGTAACTTGCACTTATGAGCAAGCTCCTCCTTAGGGATTCCACTGGATTCTATCAGAGTTTGAGGAACAAGACGTCCCCTTGCAGTGCAGGTGAGAATGAGGTGATCTCTGACTGCCAAGGGGTAGAGACAAAGCCCTGCCTATTTCCTAGGTCATTTTTCTCTTTACAAAGCAAAAGCTTTATGCCACTTGAGGAGGAAACAACAGATCTTCATGTCCAGAGACACCAGGCAGAGATCCTCCATTCTGGGGAAGAAGCAGAAGCAAAACCAAACTGAACCTGGGAAGGGACAGGAATCCCCCGGGTCCATAGGATATATCCAAAAATAACTGCAATACACAGAAGGGTGGGAGGGGGAAAAAAATCTCAACCCATAGGGGAGGAACATAAAACATTCTTTGGAGACTTCCCTGGTGATTTAGTGGCTAAAACTTGGGATTCCCAATGCAAGGAGCTTGCGTTCAATCCCTGATTAGGGACCTGGATCCCACATGACACTACTAGGAGTTTGCATGCCACAACAAAGATCGAAGATTCCACATGCCACAACTGGGATCCTGCACAGCCAAATAAAGAAAGAAAGAAATATTTTAAAAATAAAAACTCCTTGGACCTAAGATCTAACTTCTATCACAAGAAGAGGTTTGATCCCACTTGGGCAGAGGCAGCAAACTTCTGCTTAGACCAACCACAAATGTGAAACTGACTCTGCCTAAGACAGACCAGAAAAGTATAACATAAACAGCCCTGCCCCACTCCAAGTCCACCACTGAATAACAAGAAATTGCTGCTTACCACTGGAGGAAGGATAAGTGTATGGGTAGAAAGCCCATCTGCAATACAGGCACACAGGACTCTTGATATCTGATGGGTAACAGGAACACTAATAAAAACTCTCTGGTTTTCAAGGGCCCACCCAATGTGGGTCAAAGAGGCAAAAACTGGACTTGAACTCAAGAGTCTGGAAATACTATAGATGTTAGACTATATTCTCAAGGCCTGAGCAGCTCAGTTCTAGAGGAATTTGAAAGCAATGGTGCACTGAAAGTAACAATAGCAACAACAAGACTCAAATCCAGCTCAAGCTGCAATTAGCTCTTACATTAATCTGACAACAAAGAATACCCACTTCCACGCATAAATATTATTTCAGTCTTCACTCTTCCATACATGGAGCCTGGCATTCAATCCAAGATTTTGAAACACATACATAAAAAAACAAAAACAAAAAAGGCCCATGAGAAAGGACAAAGAAATCAACAGAAACAAACTCAAACATGACCCAAATGTTGGAAGAATCAATCAGTAATTTTAAAATAACTATGACTAATATGTTAAAGTATCCAGTTGGAAAAGGTAGACAAAACACATAAACAGGTAATTTCAGCAGATACATGGAAACAGTTAAACGAAAATCAAATGAAAGTGCTAAAGACAAAAAAAAAAATTTATATATCAGAGAGGATAAATTTGTTCACTAGACATAAAACAGTTGAGGAAAGAAACTGTACACTTGAAGGTAACTCAAGAGAAATTATTCTCATTAAACCACAAGGAGAAAACAAAATTAAAAAAAAAAAAAAAAAAACAGAATCAAGCACAAAAGGCCTCTAATATAATACCAAATAGTCTAACATAGTGTAAGTTGGACTTGTCAGCAAGAGATGAGAACAAGAGTCAGAAGAAACATTTGAAGAAACACTAGCCAAACTGCTCAAAATCAAGAATAAAGAAAAACAGCAAATACCAAGGCAAGAATTACAGAAGACTAATTTTCAGAAACTATGCAAGCTAGAATACAATGGAGTAGTATCTTTTAAGCACTGAAAAATAAAAATCAACAGAGATCTTAGAATTCTATTCCAAGTGAAAATACCTCCCCAAAGTAAAGATGAAATAAAGATTCTTTTGTAAGCCAAACATTTGGGGGAACTCACTGCCACATAAGAATTGTAATACCAAGTGGAGCTGTAAAAGAAATGAGTATCAAAAATGAAAAAAAAAAAAAAAGACAAGTAAGATTTTGGTTTTTTTTTTTTTTAACTTTAAAATAAGTTTTTCTTAACTTTAAAATAAGTTTTTCTTAGTATTTATTTATTTATTTATGGCTACATCAGGTCTTGTGGCATGCGGGATCCTCACTGTGGTATGTGGGAGCGTGTGGGCTCTGCAGTTTGCAGAGTGCAGACTTAGTTGCCTCGTGGTATGTGGGATCTTAGTTCCAGACCAGGGATTGAACCTGCATCTCCGGCATTGAAAGGTGGGTTCCTAACCACTGTACCACCAGAGCAGTCCCACCTCCTTATATTTTGAACGCTTGTGCCCTCACTTGCCTCACTGATTCCCTGCTCCTGACTCTGGGTTAGTACTCCTTCTAGCAGTGTCCAGGTTTCTGTGACAGACTCCGTCATCCAGATACTCTCTGCACAGACCACTTCCAACTGGTGCTACTGAAAAATTTGGCTGATATACCACATTCACTTAAAACATGCGATGAATTAGTCCAGACAGAGCAGAGAGAAGTGTCTGATAAGGTGACAAAGCTCATTATTTTCAGCAGGCGTCTGTTACCTCCCAGGAAGCACTGACCCTCGAGGCAGCGGCCTTGTGTGGCTATGGAAACCCTTACAAAACTCTGCTTTGTGGACTTGGGTGGGTTGGGAGCGGGGAGTCTCCTTTAATATCTTCCAAGAAGCAAACCTTGATTCTTTGAAGATAAATTTGATTTTTGAAAAGAGTTAAAAATTCAATTACTTCCAAGCCTGGGAAGGTGCACTGGATCATCTTATTTTTTGTTCACAAACAAGAAGTGAAGTAAATAATGTGAGTCATTTTTTTGTGTAACTGACAAGTCAATTACAGAGTACAGCTTACTATGGTAGAAGTTATTATTTTGAAGGCCATCACTCATTTTGACGCATATATTTTCATGTTTGAAGAGCCAATCTTATTTCCTTACCTATTTGATATTTGGAAAACCTCATCTCCTAAGTAAGGGTAGAGTTAATACACCATAGCTTTTACATAGAAAATGATACAATTCTTATTTAACCATCCAATAGTAAGTTTTATTAAATAAATTTACTAGCTTAATAGTAAATGGTTTTTGTCTTTTTTAAAAAGATTGTTTTCGACACGGATCATTTTTCTAAGGGCTTTATTGAACATGTTACAATATTGCTTCTATTTTTTGTTTTTTTTCTTTTTTTTTTTTTTTGTTTTGGTGACAAGGCATGTGGGGATCGTAGCTCCCTGACCAGGGATTGAACCTGTACCCCTGCATTGAAAGTGAAGTCTTAACCACTGAACCACCAGGGAAGTCCCAATAAATAGTTTAACTAAGTGGTTTATTTAAAAGTACTTCAGATTTCCCACTATGCATTGACCTTACACAGCAAAGAAAATAATTTACTGAAATTTTAAAAATTTCAACAATAATCCCAATTTGGAATTCATTTTGGCCCACTGCTCTAGATATATGCTTAGTGGCTCAGGCATGGCTGCCAAGATAAACTCTAAACTGCATTTTACAGTAACAGTTCACAGCCGTAAGCCTGCCTGGGTTAGTGACAAGCTGGCTCTTATTACAACATTGATGTTAGATGTTAGTGCTGTATAAAAAACTGTAACACCAGGTGCCCTGCCAAGCACAGTTGGAAAAGTCAAACATCATCCCCTCATAACTGGTACTTCATAGCCCTTGCTGATGGGTTGCAGTAAATATTTGGAAATCTGCCTGAGGTTACACACAGCCTGTTGATATTAACAAGGGTCAAGGAGGTTAACTGTGTTCCAAGCTTTGAAAATTCTCCACTGTATTTTTAATCACAAGCCCCTTTTCATCAATAACCCATTCATTACGTTAAAACTCAACACTCACTTTATGAAACAACGGAGTCTATATCCACTTCTAACTTCCAGCCACCGAGTAAATGCATACTTCTGTGTATTTTCATAAAAGATAAGTCTTTCAAACACTAGAAACAGCTAGCCCACCTACTCTCCAACTCCAAATATTCTCTTTCCCAAGATAAACACTGCTGTTTCCCTCACTGTTCATCATATGAAATGCTTTTGCAATTCTCTATCTTGGTTGAAAACCTATGTGTATGCTCTAATAGTCTACATATGACTTCACAGAAACAGAGAGATTATGTAGGTTCTTTTCATGATGCAGGTAAAACCATGAAATATATTTCATTTATCTTCAGGGCATGCAGCTGGAAAAATGATTCCAGATCTCTTATGTAAAGATGTTTCAGTAAGTGAAAGATCATCTTTATGCTTGCTCCTCCACCACACTGACCCCAGGAAAAGTAAAAATCCCACTGAGTGTTTAGACAAACTGTTAACATAAACCAAAATAATTCATCAGTTTATTTTAATCTATGTTTCAACATAAGTATTTCTGTATCTATTTGTCTTCTGGAATTTTACACTCCTAAAGAGAATGGCTAATTTCCAAATAACTTGCTGGGCAGTACCATAGCAAATAACAAATAAGAAATAAATGCTTCACACTTCTTTTGATGGCATTAAGTTTTGATCCTGAAAGAAACCTAACAACTTTTCAAATGTGTTCTTCTGTAGGCAGTCACAATTTTCATTTGCTTTTCAAAGTCATACTATCAAATATTATCTGAATAATTTAGACAAGTTGCAAAGTTCTTTGAAATTTTCCAATAGGAAGACAAACTTTTCTTTTACCTTCTTCTGATCTATTGGGAATTGACTTTCATGAAGATTAATTACCATCCAATAAACAATATTCTAAAGTGTGATAATAATTCTGAGAATCATTGCTCCATAAACACTGCAAATTCCAATATGAAATGTCAAAGTATCTGAAGATATCTCAAAATGAACTCACTGTGTACAGAATTTTAAAATTTATTTAAAAACTTTTTAATTCTCAGAAAATTTTAAAAACTGACTTAAAACCTCTTCATTAGGATGTAGTTATATAATAACTTAATAAACTATTCTGCTGCCTATGACAATAACATCACTGAGAATTGATATCTAGATTCGTTCTCTGGGATATTTTGCCAACAAAGCTAATGTATCTAGTCTGATTCACTTAGGTTCTTGTCTGGTGCCTCTGGCTTCCCCAAAACTCACTTAAGTATTAGCCAACTAGCATTAGGCATTCTGTGCAGGGCCAAGGAACAAACGTCATTGATTTTGGCCAAGAAGTTTCACTATGTTTCATGGCCAAAGGCAGTTCACATTACTGCAGGTATTTTCCTGGTGTTTGGCAACGTCTATAAAGAAGGTTAGGTGACCATGACTGAAATTTTGTTTTACAGACTATGACCTAATAAATGGGTATTGTTGTAAGCTGCTTAAAAAAAAAGACCAGGTAAAAATGGAACTTTACATCAAAGGTCACCTAGTAAGATACTGCAAATGCCCATGGATGGTGGTTTACAGCTCCTTGATCTACAGGAAAGGCAGCATGTGGCTATCTTATCTTGAAGTCCTCTTTCAGCTGGGAAAACAACTGGAGGGTAGATCTATCAAAGCTACCATTTGCTATCTACAAGCCTGATGGCTTAAAAACCATCTTTACCTTGAGAGTCAATTCTGAATCTGTGATATTCAATCCTTCATTTGTGTATTTCCCTTTCAATGAATCCAACTGTCAAATAAGACAAATGTTTTAGACAGGATATTTTTAGATCCAGATGCAAATGTATTTGAAATGCTTACATCTTAAGAATGTGCAGGTGTGCTATGAACATACACAAAATGCAGAACAAAGATCAGATTTTGCTTTCACATTTGCCATGAAGTTTCTCCTTTTCTCATGACCGTGTTTATCCTAATGGAAAGTCTTGCCAAGTCGCATATAATAAAAAGTTTGGAACATAGACTGGAATTTTCTAGTAGCTCTGATTTGTGATCAGATATATATATTTATATATAAATATATATATAGGATTAAAAAGAATTCTATAGAGAAATAAAAGATGAAGCAGTTCATTAAAGGGGAAATGTTATTTCTGTAACTATATTTCATTTTATACTGATAGGAACAGAATAAAAATCCCACACTTAAATAAGCAAAAAGTTTCTGTCTTTGATGTTAGCTTGAGGACTTCTAACTCCACTTATCTCTTGCCCATTTTTAAGAAGTACATGCAACCATTAAATTCTTCCCTTTATAACCACAGAATAAAATACCTTTATGTCAGGAAATTGGCCCAGATAGGTGTCCAGTGTCAGCAAGGACCCATCCACTAATTTCTGATGGAAGTCTTCCCACAGCACATCACATTTCTGAAAGAAAAAAGGAAATAAAGAGATGAATGCAGAATTATTTTAACTGGATACCTTTCACCAACTTCTAAAAAGCCTGAAACTATAAAATCAGATAAGTACTATTTCCTTGGATAGTAAATGGTAGAAGGAATGTGGATTATGTAAAATACCTTAATTTGGCTACCATTTCTAAATTTACAATACTGAATGTATAGGCTACCTAAGGACTCAGCTCATTTAAAACTGTGTTTCTGCTTTTGAATTAATAAGGAATGTATTCAACAGAAGCTTCAAAAAGCCCCTGGTGCTGGTAGTTTAGTTGCTAAGTTGTGTCCAACTCTTGGCAACCCCATGGACTGTAGTCTGCCAGGCTTTTCTGTCCGAGGGATTTTCCAGGCAAGAATACTGCAGTGGGCTGCCATTTCCTTCTCCATCAGAAGGCCCCTAGATCCTTATAAATGGATTTTGGGGCTAAGAGTCTGAAGAAATCCAGTGAAAGAGCTTGCTTCTGAAGCAGTCGATGAAATTAGAAGCCACTCCATACAAACAACAAACCATTGCTGAAGCTTCCACATGGATAGCAGAAAGGGCCCATACCAGGCATGGCGCATCAGTTATGATAAACACAGCAACTATCAGATATTAGTATTGTTATAATTACTACTGTCACTGTGTCAAGTCAGAGTTGCTCAGATACATCCTACTCTTTGTGACCCCACAGACTATAGCCCCCCAGGTTCCTCTGTCCATGGAACGTTCCAGCCAAGAATACTGGAGTGGGTTGCCATGCCCTTCTCCAGGAGATCTTCCCAACCCATGGATCTAACCTGGTCTCCTACATTTCAGGCAGATTCTTTACCATCTGAACCACCAAAGAAGCCCCAAAGTGAAAGTATTAGTGGCTCAGTCGTGTCCAAGTCTTTGCAACCCATGGACATCAAGGCAGTTGGTTAAACACTTTACTTGTCTCTGTGTGTGATTTAATTCTCACAATATTCTTATGAGCAAAGTCTTCCTGTTGCCTTTATGTAGAAGAGAATGCTGAAGCTCAGAGATGATATATAACCTGGCCTAGGTCATATAGCTGGTAAATGACAGAGTCTGGGTTCAACCCTTGAATGTGAAGCCCACAATCTGTCTCTGACACCAGGCTGCCTCACCAGAACAGGGTTCATATCCCAGCTGTGTGACTTTAGAATGAGTTTCAGTTTACCCAATCAAGGGAACTGACAACATAAAGTGCTTCACAGAATCCCAAGCACATAGCAAGTGTGCAAGAACATCACTCCTTATTCTTTCCGTCACTACATTTGGGGTCTCCTGACACCATCTACCCTTTCTTTCTCCTTAGTAACAGAACCTCCAATTTCTGCCAGGCACATGGCCTCCCAGGACACAGACCACATTTATCGGTCTCCACTGCAAGCCAGAGTAGCCATGAGACTAAATTCTGCCAAAAGGATGGACTTAAAGGCAATGTCCTTAAAGGGAGGTTTGTCCTCCATGCTTCCTCCTTCCTGTCACTGGAAGACAGAAATGAGTGCTGATAGCCAGAGCTCAGACAGTCACTTGAAAGTAGAGATGGCATCAGAGATGCAAAGACAGGCCCCTGATGGTCGTGGGTCCCCCCCACCGCGCACGGACTGCCAACCTTCAATGTCCGCCATGGGAGAGAAGTTTCTGTCTTGTTGAAAACCACTTTGTAATGGTTGATTTGCTTCTTTTTCTTTTTCACCCTTTAAGACCCAGTTCTAATTGTTATAGATCCTTATTGGATCCTTATTGGAGAATTTTATGCAACCAAAAAATTTAAATCCATTATACAAAAAGGCTTATTCTATCTGAGCAGACCCTTTGAACATGCAGTGTCAGCTGCTTCACCTTCAAAAGAGCTCATATTTGGGTCAGCAACTGAAGATTCCCAAAATTCTGGCAGCCACAAGGACCAAGGTAAGATATCAGCTGTTTCCTTAGGAATAAAGGTCAAGATAGTGGCATTTGCCACACACAGAATTGTAACACAGTGTTCTGAAAAGCCATTTATGCAAGCTTCTATCATTCCCTTAAAACGTCTCCTTTTCATAATGAATTTTAAATGCTACACCTCTAATCAGAAATTTACAAAATGAGTTAAACCTTTAAAACATGCTGTTGAAGCAATGTCTTTATATTTAAGAAATGTGAGAAGATGTAATTACTCAAAACAGCATTGAAAAATAGTGTGTGGAGACTGATATTGCCCAATTCACATACTGAAAGGTTTCAAAAGAAGTTAACAGAGTTAACAAGAGCCTTATTCATTAAAAAAATAATCTCGGTTTCTATCACAGTCATAACAAGATTATGATTTGTGATCAACATGGGGGTGTCAGAATTTTCAGGGAGCAGCCCAGGCGAGTTGTTAACCCATCTTTCCAAAGGCTGCAGAGATGATCAGCATGTCACCTACCAGACCTTCCTGTGGGTTGTGGAGGCCACATCTCTTAGGTCTTCCATGCCTCATGAGAAGAAACAAGCTCCCGTGAAGCATGACAAACAACTACTCTTTGTTTTAACAAAGAACTTGGTCATAAGAAAACTCCTGACAGCAGGATTCCTAATGTCTGTGACAATCACATGCACTGTGCATTAGGTTGAGGGTGTGAATACACAGGCTTTCAGTGTATTATTAGGAGGTAAAATTAATACTCTCACTTTGCAGATGAGGAAACTGAAGCCAAAAGAAGATTAGAGAACTCACCCAATGTCACATCCTATTCTGCCTTCCTCAAAGCAACAGTAACTCCTTTCTTGCTTCCCAGAGCCAGACAGCCCTGGGCTAGACAGTATGTTTTAAGTGTTAAGACATGTCTTGGGATAAAGTATGTCATTAGTTAAATTTCTGCTCGCAAGCTCTGTCCTCAGCCCTGCAGACTGGCGAATGGACCAGCCGGCAGTAAACTGAAACAGATGCTGTTCTCAGCTCCTGCACCTGCTTTCAAGGAGGGATGGGGAAGGAGGGGCAGAACATAAAATCAAGTTATGAGCCAATTCTCCTGCTGAAATAGGCTAAGAAGTGTAGTAAGGGGCAGAAAAGTCTACTCTCATGTTGAAGAAAAACAATCTTTAACACACAGCTTTCTACCCAAGTGGTTTTATCATCATGTTCACTCCTCACTATGAGTTAGGATCAATCTGGATGGCAGAACTGCACAGCGCCTTCTGGGTACACGGTGTCCCCTCCTGATGAGGGCATGAAGTGCTGAGAGGGGATAAGTTGAGTGAGTAGGACACGGTGGGACCCACAAGGGAAGCCACCCTGGGCCTCCCGAGCGCTGTGACGAGCTCTCACCTCGCCAACCATTTTCACATCTTCACGCCCATACCAGTCAGGCTCATAGACTTCATGCAGCGACTCGGTGAGCTTCATGGAAGCCTCTTGCATGCCTAGCATTGGAGAAAAGCAATTCCCGTTAGAGAGAGGTGGGTGAAAAGTCTCTTCCTCCTTCCCCTACTTCTCTAAGTGAGAGGGAAAATCTTGAACACTTGCTAAATGTTTAAGGAAAAACTGGGCAGGTACAACTGTTATTTGCATCTGTAGTCACATCTTTCCTGATTCTGATTACAGCACACACCTTCTTGTATTTACAATAACAGTGACAGATACAGGATCTTAAAAAATAAATAAATAAACAAGGCACTGTATTCTGAAAACAATATGTCCTACTAGGTGTGTTGTCACTTGTTAAATGACATGAAACCATAAATGTACAGGACACCTAGAGCTCTTCTCTATAAAATGACAAGAGTCCTAGGAATTAATCCTAAATGAATTTGAATGTTAGAAATAAAGCTTTTTTTTTTTTTTTTTTAAGCAGACAGAAGCACAATCAATAGGATTTTAGGGTATAATATTTGAAATGTTTTAAGTGGCCTAAATTTAAAAAAAATTTTTTTTTATTTTTTTAAATTAAAAAAAATTTCTTTTTCCAATATTATCAAGTTATATATATACAGTTTTAAGTTAGAAGCCTCAGAGAACTTCAAGTTCTTCTGTCTATGGGTCAGAATTTTAATTATTGGTATAATTTGGTATGTTGCAAAAATATGGTTATTAACAATAGTAAAGATACAAAGTTTCCCAGTGCAACATGGTGATATAAAGTATCACTAAGTCTGTTTCAATCTCCCCTTTGCCCCTCCTTCAAAATATTAAGGGAAAATTATGGACTACAGTGGTGACCACTGAGGGCTGGGAACAGAACAAGGCGGAGTCTTTGGCTGGCGACCTGGAGAAGCGCCACTTTGGCACCAGACTCTCCCTCATAGCTAGAAGGTGAGCTCTGGCTAAGTTGGTGCCTTGGTCTTTGTCACTAGGAGATATGAAATGGGGCTGGATAGAAGGAGAGGAGAGAAAAACCAGAGTGCCATCATTAGAAAAAAAAGACACATCTCATAAACTCAATGCCAGAGAATCAAAGAGGGAAAGTTTTTTGTGAAACTGAAAGCTGCAACACTCTAAATTCAACCATGTGTTTAGTGGATTTAAAGCAGTCAGTTTTGGGGTCAACAGTGAAGGAAAAAAGTCAAAATAGAAGATGTCTGAGGAGTTTGAGGTTTTTGAACACAAGCTACCCATTCTCCTTGCTTGGTGCTTGCAATAAATTTTTCTCTGCTCTAGAAAATGAAATTATAAATAAAAATAAGATGTATGAAATGATCAAAGTATATCCTCAAACAATATGTACAAGAGTCACACAACGGAAAATTATTCAGTAACACAAAATAATGAAATCATGCAATTTGCAGCAACATGGAATGGCCTAGGGATGATCAGACTAAGTGAAGTAAGTCAGAGAAAGACAAATATATGATATCAATTATATGTGGAATCTAAAAAAAAGACACAAGTGAATTTATTTACAAAAGAGAAACAGACTCACAGACTTAGAATACAAACTTATGGTTATCAAAGGAGAAAGGCAGGGGAGGGATAAATTAGGAGTTTGTGACTAACATATACACACGTCTTCACATATATCGATGACCAACAAGATCCTACTATATAGCACAGTCAAATATATTCAATATCTTGTAATAATCTATACTGGAAAAGAATATTAAGAAGTGTGTATATATACACACACACATATATGTGTATATACGTATAACTGAATCACTTTACTGTATAGCTGAACCTAGAAACATTGTAATCAAATATATTTCAATAAATTATTTAAGAAGTAAAATAAAATATTAGTCCCACCCTCTAAAAAAGAGTCAACATCTAATCTGGTATTTCACAATACATTTCCTCTCTCTAGAGGGGCTTCCCTGATAGCTCATTTTGTAAAGAATCTTCCTGCAATGCAGGAGACCCCAGTCCGATCCCTGGGTTGGGAAGATCCCCTGGAGAAGGGGATCCAGTATTCTGGCCTGGAGAATTCCGTGGACTGTATAGTCCATAGGGGTCACAAAGAGTCAGACACAACTGAGCGACTTTCGTTTCACTTCACTTTAGGGGACAGACAATCCCCCGTGTTTTCCCCTACTAAGATGCAGATGCCTATTTGGCCTTTGCACACAAAAGGTATGAACGTGTTTTGTAGCCACATGAAGTGTGAAAGCCTGTGACCCTCTCTCCATAAAGGGCATATCACTGAACACGTTTAAGGACGCCCTTCACCATGAGGAGTACAAGCAACCCACACCAGCTGAAATGACTTGACGACCACAAGCGGAAGCCCAGCAGGGTACTGTGCGAAAGAAGTCATGACTCAGTTCTCTGGGGACACTGATGAACTAGTCTTATAGGTGTAGAGACAGGCAAGTGTTGCATTGTGTGTGCTTAGTCACGTCCAGCACTTTGTGACCCTTGGGACTGTAGCCTGCCAGGCTCCTCTGTCCACTGGATTTCCCAGGCACGAATACTGAAGTTAGTTCCCAATTACTGCTCTTGGGGATCTTCCCAACCCAGGTATCAAACCCACGTCTCCTGAGTCTCCTACATTGCAGGCGGATCCTTTTCCCACTGAGCCACAAAAAGTAATCCAAAAACCTTCATCCATCCTCTAGCACTCTGAGTCCAAGCAAGTAAGAATCTTTTTCTTGTGATGTGGTCTCCACATGCGGTCACTGCTGACCATGTGTGGCAGGAATATTTATCTTGAATGTCCATGTTTAACCCGAACCCTAAGTAAACAAATACTAAGAAATGCATCCCTCAAAATCACACCAAAAGTGAGTCACTAGTTAGAACTCTATCATTCAGATGGCAAAAGGCTTGTGAAGTTTCCTTTTAATTCTTCGAGTCAGATGGAAGTTATCAACAGCCACATAGACAAGCTCTTAATGTCTTAAGAGGAAGAAAGATGCATGATAGTATTGCAGAACAAAAACCGTTGTGGTGCAAAATGAAACTGTGATTTAAGTTTAAAATAAAATTCTATAAGATCTTACTCTTTGGGGCAAAAACACACAATGTTGCCATAAATATGTCTATTATTAGCCCAAAATAACTACTAATTGCTGTGTGGATAAGTAGCGGTGTGGGTAATTTGGAAAGAAATTATTTTGACAAAAAGCTGTTTCTACAACCCTCCATAGGAAATACTCTGACAGATAGACAGGTGAACAAAACACAAGTCTTACTCTTAAAAGACAAAAAGATTGGCATAGATTTAGAATTTCCTCTGGTGGCAGAGCAAAAGAGGAAAAAACATAGCTAAAACCCAAGTTTCCTTCAAAGTAATTTGGCAACATTAAAGCATAATAGATGCTAAGTGGCATTTAATAATATCTAATACCAATATTTTCTTGGGCTTTCCAGGTGGCTCACATGGTGAAGAATCCACCTGCAAGGCAAGAGACCTGGGTTCAATTCCTGGTCCAGATGATCCCCTGGAGAAGGGAGTATTTTCTTAAAAGATTAGTGGTTTTCAAAACTATAATACAAGTATCAAGATTCATACATAGAAGAATGATCATCTTACTACTGGATGGGAACCATTTCCCTCACCAAAAATTTGGAGCATCCTAGACCTGTTTTCCAAAGTATTCATCAATAATAAATTATAGTACATGCCACATGTTACGGGATAATACATGAAATGAGCCATAAAAAGCTTATGTCTGTACCTGGCACACATGTGTTCAATAAATGTGAACTATAATTATTATTAAACTATTAGCCTAGACTTCTAAAAAGTCTACAGTTTCATTTCCTCTAGTTTGTATTTCATACCATTACACTAATTATTTCTAAAATGCTAATCTGATCATGTGACTCATTCCCTCACCTAAAAGAATGTTAAGGACGCCCTTCTCCATTGATAGAATAAAACCCAAGATTTCTTCTACCTGGATAGTCTTTCCAACATCAACCTCTTCCCCTGGCATATCTGATCACCTGGGGACCATGGATGCCCCCCTCTTGGGTTCATTCAGGATAAGTTCTGCAGAAGGACCATTCCTGACCTGGTCTCCCGGCCCTCAGCTAAGGTGGGAGGACTCTCCTTTGCTGGATAGCACAGAGCACACCTCTCTTAAACGACACATTACCCTGCGTATCTGGCCTTTTGTTTATTAGCTTTCTCTATCACAAGCCCCAGAAGAGCAAACACTGTGTCTCACTCATCTCTGCATCTCTGTCCTCTAGAACAGTGTCAGGCCTATAACTGAGACTCAATGCAATGTTTGCTACTAAAATCAATGAGAGCATAAGATCTCCTGCAAAGTCCAAGCCATCAGCAGAAATAACAAAGCCCCACAGGAGTGAATGCCACCCAGAGATTAGGGATAATAAAGAGTAGAGCTCATTGAATCCAATTTCATAGAATGCCCGTAGCAGAGATGTGGGGGGACTTCCGAGAGCAACTGGAGCGCTTTATAGCTGAGGAACATCTGGCACATTTTACAAATGAGGCAGTCGACAGGCTTGGATTATCCCATAGCTGCCTCTCAAAACGGACCCAGGACTCATCACTCTACTGGGTGAGATCTCATTCTCTGTAATGCTGCCTGTATTAAACTGCTCCATTAGTTAGCTAGAGTTCTTCTTGTGAAAACCAGAAAAATGGGCCATGAAAGCACTTTGAAAAAGCAAATTATAGTCTACTTAATGCATAACCCTTATCTTTAAGTGTGTTCCCAAAACTGAAAATATGCTCCAAGGAATGCTGATTCTTTCTAAGACTTTGAGAAGAAAAAAAGCATTCTACAATTAAATCAGTGGAAAATGCTGCCCACGCCACAGGCCTATGGGAGATTAGATTAAGGGTTAAGGGTTCTGATAAACTCTGTAGTAAACTGTTTAAAAACTCATTCCAACCAGCCTCTTCCAGAGTCATTTAAACAGAGATCTCTCTCAGAGAATATCGTTAGTCATTCAATCAGCAAAATGTGTGGGGAAGAGCTACTGGACAGTCCTTCCTCCTACATATGTGGATGTCACCATTAGAAGTGGGATGCAGGGCACAGACTGATGGAAGAGTCTCTTCGATGCTGCACCCAATGTCTCCCTGAAGACAAGTCTTCTCACAGTGGATTCTCCCTCCAGACCACATTAAGGAAAAAAAAATAAGCCAGTCTTTTTAAATAGCATTCTCCATACTAGGGCAATAAAATAGACCAAAATACATAGTCTTGGAAGAGAGATCCAATTCACTCATTCATTTTAAAATGAGCTAACAAAGAGAAAATCCTATACTCAAAACTGTATGACTTCTTATGTTAAAATCTTGAATCAGCAATGAAAGAATTACCTACAGTGCCTTCTATTTTCTGATCAAACTGTTATAAATATTTGAGGTTAACTTTTTTAGAGCAGTTAATTATGACCTCTGTGAATTGCGGAGGTTAAATCCTCTGAGTCTTACTTCTTTACAAATGCAAGATAAGGCTAATGTTATTTAGCCTGTGATGGGTGGTGACAAAGAAGTAACATGCCTAAAACACTTAGTACATAGCCTACCACATAGTAAAGTGAAGTAGCTCAGTCGTGTCCGACTCTTTGCGACCCCATGGACTGCAGTCTACCACGCTCCTCCGTCCATGAGATTTTCGAAGCAAGAGTACTGGAGTGGGTTGTCATTTCCTTCTCCAGAGGATCTTCCTGACCCAGAGATCGAACCTGGGTCTCTCATTAAAAAGCAACAGAGGTAAGTTGTCATTACCTCATTGTACAGATGAACTCAAATTATGAAACAATGCAATACTGATGGCTATATAGTTCAAAGACAGTACAAGAGAAAAGCAAGGTCTCAGGAAACTCAGAGACCAGACGGTGCATTTCACCCCTGCTATTTAGTAAGCCCATGACCCTAGACAAGCTATTTGACCCTTCTATGCCTGGCTTTTTAACAATAAAATGAAGATAAAATAAGTACCTGCCTCATAGAGTTGTCAGGTGAAGTGTGTTCCCAAAACTGAAAATATAATATATATTTATAAAATAATAAAAGCTTAAATACATCTTAGTTTAAAAATTACTTTCACTAATTTTGATTTTTATGACTAATTTTTATTAAGAGTTTCATTATGTAGCCATAACTTTGTAATCAATTTCATACATCCATACATTGAAACTGTTAAGAATAAATTCTTGGAAATGAAACTAGTGTATCAAAAGGCATGCCCCCCCACACACACAAAATCAAAAATCACATATAACAGCCTTTGCCAAATCCCTCTTCAGGAAAGCAGTCTTATCAGAAGTGTACAAAAGGAGTCCATTTCCCACAGCTCTGCCAATGCTAGGCATTACAGCTTTGTTTTGAGTCTTTTTTTTAAAACTTTTTATGTCTTTGAACACTTAGAAGAAAAATAACATCTTCTCCCTTTGATATCATTTTATATTCTTTGAATACTCAGGACAAGCACTTTTTACATTTATTACCCATCTACAGATCTTCTTATATTAATTTTCTCTCCATATGTTCTACTCAGTTTTTCTTTTGATCCACTAATCTTCATTTAGCTTACTGACTGAGCTCTTTATATCCTGGCTCACTTTGATTAAAATATGCTGCCAAAATAATTTTTTAAACATTGTGTACATTAATGAGGTCAAATCTCTCAAACTTGCCCTTTCCAATTTCTGCCTTCTGGGGGAGCCTTGTAAAGACCTTGTCACCGGAGACTGGAGATTAAGTCTACTGTATTTTATTCTGGGACTTGAGCGCATCTCTTTGTCTACATATTTAAATCTTCACTATATTTGGAAATGAGAAGGAGAGAATAAAGAGTGAGGTTGGGAATCTCACTTTTTTTCTGAGTGTTTGGCCAGTTTACCCAAGACTCATTGTCAGATGATCCATTCTCTCCCCACTAATCTCAAAATCTGCCTTATCACGCACCGTGGGTGCACTTGAATCTGACCCAGTGCCGGCAACTGGATATCTCCGGAGGCAGAAATAGAGTACCCAACCTGATTCCTCTCTTCACTCTCCACCACTAGCCTTATTTCCTTGCCTTGAATATCAAGAGACTAGAAACAACAGCAGAGCCTCTTTCTCCCTACAGTGGCAGGGTTGCAGGTGCAGCCGGTCCCCACAAGTCATAGGCAATTCAGGGCCATGTTTCATGTTAATGTTGCTGTCATCCCTTGCCCGCTCCTGCTAGAGGGCTTATGTGCAAGTCTAAGAGCGTCCAACTCTTGGGACATACTCTCCCTTGGGATGAAACCAGCTGCAGCTTTTCTTAAACAAGGTCTGCAGCTCACTCTATCTAACAACTCTTCCTAGAAAGCTCTGGCACATGGGAGGCACTTATTCCTAGTTTCCAGCATAAGAAAACTTATTTTCCTTATATACCTGATTATCCTTTCAATGGGAACTGGGGAGTAGGTAGAATGGAACACCTGTGCTCCAGTACCCATCCTGCCAGAAAGCCAAATGGCTTTCTAATTAACACTAGATCCTGTCACTCTTGAATTCCAAGAACAACCTGTGCTTGGTAACATGCAGTAAACAACCCATACACATTACCTTTGATAGCTGCTAAGTATCCTCGGAGTTCTCGCTGAAGTCTGGTACCCTCGGCCTGAAAACACACAAACACAGAGATCTTCAACATCTTGTTTACATTTTGCATGCAAACATGTACAAAGCCATAAGCTTAGAGTTATTTTTACCAGAAGCTCATTCTTGAAAGAAAATAAATATGTGAATTCATACTGAACAAGATATCCATTACTCTAGATACTTACAGAGATTTTATTCAGCTTAAGAGGGAGTAAGACTTTGCTAAGAATAGAAACTGTGACCCACCATACAACCTTCTATACATTCAAGAGCTAGTGAGTCTCTCAATTTTGACACATAGGTCACAAGGTAGGAAATTTACCACCACTGTTCACTGTTTAATATGGTAGCTACTAGCTCAAGGTTGTCACATGTTTACAATGTAGCTAGCCCGAATGCAGATGTACTGTAAGTATAAAATACTTACCAGGTTACAGAGATTTAGTACCAAAAACATACACACACACACACATATATACATATATCATTAATATATTCTAGATAGATTGTAGATTAATATAATATTTTGGAGATAATGCATTAAACTATATTATTAAGATTCATTGTAACTCTTTTCAGTTTTTCTTAAACTGAAGTATCATGCATGCCCAGTTGCTCAGTCATGTCCGACTCTCTGCAACCCATGGACTGTATAGCCCGCCAGCCTTCTCTGTCTGAGGAATTTTCCAAGCAAGAATACAGAAGTGGGTTGCCACGTCCTTCTCCAGGGGATCTTCTCGACCCAGGGATCAAACACGAGTTGGTTTATAATACTGTGTTAGTTTCAAGTGTACAGCATCTTTTTACTTTTTAAAAGTAAAATTTTTACTAGAAAATTTTAAATTATGAATGTGGTGTGCATTATATTCCTACTGGACATCACCAAAATAGAGAAATTGTTAAATTGTAAATTTTGGCCTATGAATACTTGTTTTGGTTTGGAATCTATTTAGAAACTCAAAGACTCTAAGACTAGGATTAGATTCTGGTCTGAAGTTACTCAGGAAATGTTAATGGTAGCATGGAGAAGTGAGGCAGGGAGGGAAAGAGAGGTAACTCAAGGTGCATTAAGAAGCAAGTTTCCACAGTGGGCAGTCCTGCCTTAATTCAACTGGGGAACTCTAGGAGACAGACTCCAACACGCTACAGACATCCTCACCAAGGGGCAAGTGAGTTGGGGCATTTAATGTCATCTCCTGTTGGACATTGGCTAATGGCTGCTTCTTAAAATGAAAGTCGCTCAGTCATGTCCGTCTCTTGTGACCCCATGGAATAGTCCATGGAATTCTCCAGGCCAGAATACTGGAGTGGGTAGCCTATCCCTTCTCTAGAGGATCTTGCCAGCCCAGAAGTCAAACCGGGGTCTCCTGCATTGCAGGCAGGTTCTTTACCAGCTGAGCTACCAAGGACCCCGAAGCCTGATTCTGGGGAACATGAATTCCCCATTAATCCACACAGGGGCAGACAGGTCTCCAGGAACCATAGTAAGACCTCAATCAAAGAGTTCTGCTGTTGGCAACTGCAAGTCATCCAGTGGGCTCAGAAAAGGTAGGTACTAAAGGCATATAGCTGGCCACCAACAGTATTGTCTATGACACTGCAAGGAAACACATCAAAAAAATGTATTTTAACTGCACAGTCATTGAACAGAAGTACACAGAACTAGCAGATAGAATGACTCCACCTTGAAAATTAATATGATCACAGCTATTGTATAACTCTAACTTGACAGTTAATAATACACCCACTAATATAGTAACTATAATGGTCATATTCATTTCAACAAGCATTTGTTAGAATTTACCAAAAAGGAATCCCTTAGAAGAAATGAAGTAACCCTCATAGTGAACAAAACAGTCTGAAATGCAGTACTTGGGTGCAATCTCAAAAATGACAGAATGATCTCTGTTCATTTCCAAGGCGAACCATTCAGTATCACAGTAATCCAAGTCTATGCCTCAACCACTAATGCCAAAGAAGCTGAAGCTGAATGATTCTATGAAGACCTAGAAGACCCTCTAGGAGAAGGCAATGGCAACCCACTCCAGTAATCTCGCCTGGAAAATCCCATGGACGGAGAAGCCTGGTAGGCTGCAGTCCATGGGGTCGCTAAGAGTCGGACACGATTGAGCGACTTCACTTTCACCTTTCCTTTCATGCACTGGAGAAGGAAATGGCAACCCACCCCAGTGTTCTTGCCTAAAGAATCCCAGGAACGGGGGAGCCTGGTGGGCTGCCGTCTATGGGGTCGCACAGAGTTGGACACGACAGAAGTGACTTAGCAGCAGCAGCAGCAGCACAAGACCTTCTAGAACTAACACCCAAAGAAGATGTCCTTTTCATCATAGAGGACTGGAATGGGAAAGTAGGAAGTCAAGAGATACCTGGAGTAACAGGCAAGTTTGGCCTTGGAGTACAAAATGAAGCAGGGCAAAGGCTAACAGAGTTTTGCCAAGACAACGTACTGGTCATACTAAACACCCTCTTCCAACAACACAAGAGACACCTCTACACATGGATATCACCACATGGTCAATAATGAAATCAGATTGATTATATTCTTTGCAGCTGAAGAAGGAGAAGCCCTATATAGTCAGCAAAAACAGGATCAGGAACTGACTATGGCTCAGATCGTGAACTCAGACTTAAATTGAAGAAAGTAGGGAAAAACACAAGACCATTAAGGTATGACCTAAAACAAATCTCTTGTGATTATACAGTGGAAGTGACAAATAGATTCAAGGGATTAGATCTGATATACAGAATGCCTGATGACTGTGGATGGAGGCTCATGACATTGTACAGGAGGCAATGATCAAGACCATCACCAAGAGAAAGAAATGCAAAAAGGCAAAATGGTTGTTTGAGGAGGCCTTACAAATAGCTGAGAGAAGAGAGAAGCTAAAGGCAAAGGAGAAAAGGAAAGATATACCTATCTGAATGCAGAGTTCCAAAGAATAGCAAGGAGAGATAAGAAAGCTTTCCTCAGTGATCAAGGCAAAGAAACAGGAAAACAATAGAATGGGAAAGACTAGAGATCTCTTCAAGAAAATTAGAGATACCAAGAGAACATTTCATTCAAAGATGGCCACAATAAAGGACAGAAACAGTATGGACCTAAAAGAAGCAGAAGATATTAAGATAGAGGTGGCAAGAATACACAGGAGAGCTAAACAAAAAGATCTTCATGACCCAGATAACCACGATGGTGTGATCACTCACCTAGAGCCAGACATCCTGGAATGTGAAGTCAAGTGGGCCTTAGGAAGCATCACTACAAACAAAGCTAGTAGAGGTGATGGAATTCCAGTTGAGCTATTTCAAATCCTAAAAGATGATGCTGTGAAAGTGCTGCACTCAATAAGCCAGCAAATTTGGAAAACTCAGCAGTGGCTACAGGACTGGAAAATGTCAATTTCATTCCAATTCCAAAGAAAGGCAATGCCAAAGAATGCTCAAACTACTGCACAATTGCACTCATCTCACATGCTAGCAAAGTAATGCTCAAAATTCTCCAAGCGAGGCTTCAACAGTACGTGAACCAAGAATTTCCAAATGTTCAAGTTGGATTTAGAAAAGGCAGAGGAACCAGAGATCAAATTACCAACATCCGTTGGATCATAAAAAAAGCAAGAGAGTTCCAGAAAAACATCTGCTTTATTGACTAATCCAAAGCCTTTGACTGTGTGGATCACAACAGACTATGGAAAATTCTTCAAGAGATGAGAATACCAGACCACCTGACCTGACTCCTGAGAAATCTGTAAGCAGGTCAAGAAGCAACAGTTGGAATTGGACATGGAACAACAAACTGGTTCCAAATCAGGAAAGGAGTATGTCAAGGCTGCATATTGTCACCCTGCTTATTTAACTTATATGCAGAGTACATCATGTGGAATGCTGGGCTGGATGACACACAAGCTGGAATCAAGATTGCTTGGAGAAATAACCTCAGATATGCAGATGACATCACCCTTATCATAGAAAGTGAGGAGGAACTAAAGAGTCTTGTGATAAAAGTGAAAGAAAAGTGAAAAATCTTGCTTGAAACTCAACATTCAAAAACTAAGATCATGGCATCTGTTCCCATCATTTCATGGCAAATAGATGGGGAAACAGTGGAAACAGTAAGAGACTTTATTTTCTTGGGCTCTGCAGATGGTGATTGCAGCCATGAAATTAAAAGACGCTTGCTCCTTGGGAGAAAAGCTATGACTAACCTAGACAGCATATCAAAAAGTAGAGACATTACTTTGCCAACAAAGGTCCGTCTAGTCAAACCTATGGTTTTTCCAGTAGTTATGTATGGATGTGAGAGTTGGACCATAAAGAAACTGAGCGCCAAAGAATTGATGCATTTGAACTGTGGTGTTGTAGAAGACTCTTGAGAGTCCCTTGGATGGCAAGGAGATCACACCAGTCAATCCTAAAGGAAATCAGTCCTGAATATTCATCAGAAGGACTGATGCTAAAGCTGAGGCTCCAATACTTTGGCCACCTGATCCGAAGAACCAATTGTTTAGAAAAGACCCTGATGCTGGGAAAGACTAAAGGCAGGAGGAGGAGAAAGGGATGACAGAGAATGAGATGGTTGGGTGGCATCACCATCTCTATGGATATGAGTTTGAACAAGCTCCAGGAGTTGGTGATGGACAGGGAAGCCTGGAGAGATTCAATTCATGGGGTCGCAGAGTTAGACAGGACTGAATGACTGAACTGAACTGAACCAAAAAAGAAAGGATGAAGAGAAAAAAACTACTTCCTTCAGTAAATTACTGTCTTGTAGAGGAACTAAAATATCTATAGGAAAAATTGCATCTCAAAGCAGATTGTGTTAACTCTGAATAATCATCCAGAGTGTTTGGGAGTATAAAGGAAAGATAAAATGCCCAGTGCATTGAAAAACAGATAGTGATTAATACAAATAAAGTCAAAAAAAAGTGTTTAAGACCATGCTGGACTCCAAAATAAATTCTGGAACAGAATATTTTCCTAGATGTTATAACGCAGGTTTAGTGA